CAAGCCGATTATCGCCGATTTTTATGACTTTTTGCTGGGATGCGCTGGCAAATCCAAGTCACCCAAGCAATCTAACCCGGGCTGCAAAATCCTCCACTCATAGTCATTGATACCCTCTGGTGTCAACGATATCAAACATAGCTGAGAAATCCCCGAACTAAATGCAGGTTTACTGTAGTGGGAAAATCATCGAACTAAATGGTGATTTTGCCATGGCCATGTTTGATGACACCGGAGGGTAGTGATGCACATCGAATCGGGGAATAACATGTAGCAAATCGAGCCTCATCAGGGGCAGGAAGTCATGGGGACTGCAACCAAGGCGGTGCAGCCATTCTCAGATCATGATGGGTATGTTTTACCTGAAATTTAGCTCCCATGAGTTGAGCTATTCAACTTTGGACGTTCATGATTTATGACAATTTTTCCTTTGATATTTGATATTTACCCAATTTTAGCTCTAAGACTGTTGTATCTTTATTCAGGCTGGTCGTCCACCAAACATTTATCCCATCCCATCCCATTCTGCAGAGAAGCTCCAGGTTTCGTTCAACTCTTGGAAGCTTGTCGCTTTTGTGACTCGGCATTGATGGTGTTGCGATATGTTGCGATCATATCGGTGAGACCAGAGGCAGCTATGTGTGTGTGTACTTGGTCATCATATGGTATATATAATATAGAAGTTATATAATTAAGATTGATTAAGTGTATGTATATATATATATATATATTATACAAGTCGCACATATATATAATCCTGGTGGCCATTTCTTCTATAAAATGGTCGCACCCAGGTACCCTGCTAAACCATTTTTTTAGGCACTATAAAATGGAAAAAAAATGTTTGGAGTGGTTCTTGAATGGTTTATCAGGATATATTTTCTATTTTCTTTTTGGGCAAGTACTACTTTATAGAGGCCACTTGGGGTCTTACTGCAGGAAAGCTGTTCATTTAGTAGGGGTGGCACAGGCCTCCACTTTATAGCACAATGTTGGCTGTGCAACGTTGTGGTGCTATTTTATAGATAGGGTGTTTCCATGTGTGGTGTGGCTGAACTTCCACTTTATAGAGTGCCCGTTTGCATTGTTTTGTTCAAGGTTTTGTATCAACATGTATCAACACAGTTTGATTGCAGCGGTATAAAGCGGTATGCCGTCCGTGGCAGCAATGCCAGCAAGCTCAAAACTGCACCATATGTCTTTATAAAATGGTAGAAGAACCTCTCTTTTCCACCAGGACCACTATAGAATAGAAAACTGCACTATATGTCTTTATAAAATGGTAGAACAACCTCTCTTTTCAACCAGGACCACTATAGAATTGAAAACTGGATCTGAAGGGAACGGTTCTTGGGCAGGTAGCCTTAGACGGGGAGAGATCAGGGAAATGCCGGGGTAGAGAGCCAAATCCAGTTGAAAAGAATCCAACAGAATAAAGAATGATCCAAAAAGCAAATCCATTATGTAGAGATATGTAGGGTACTGGGAGCAGTCCAGCCAACAAACTTCCATTTTATAGACAGAGAAGTGGGATATATACAGCCTGCGAACACGGGAAGAAAAAATTGGCTGGAGCCTACTGCAGACTTGTGATTTGCCACTTTCACCTCTATAAAATAGAATCCAACCAGAGACAGAAATGCAATGAAATGCACTGTAATGCAATGAAATGCAATGAAATGCATAAGTTCCATCAAGCTGGAAAATGGTTTTTGCGACTGGCTTGGGCAAGGAGCATTTTATAGAGATGATTTTGGAAGCCTTGCTGAGAAGTGTGGTTTGCAAAAATGAAACCTGGGTACCTTCCAGTTTATAGGCCTGTGATTCTACAAGTGTACCCCAAGGAATATTTTATAGAGGGAGTACCCCCCTGACAAACCATTTTAGCATTATAAAATGGCAGCTACCCAGGTTCCACCCCTAATTTACACATGGATTATATATATATATATATTTGCAAGTACGCTTATTACATGCCGAGAAAGCCTTTGACCCTTGATTGTGTTTACATTGGAGAGAGTGAACCATAAAATTTCAGGCTGACTATCCAAGTATGGCTCCATTTTGGTTCCAGGTGTATCCATATGTGTTTTTTTGCACTCGCTCGGGTGGTCCAAGACAATCGAGCTGGTGTTGTCTTGTTTGGGCTGGCTCAAGCTGGTTATTCTTTTCCTAGTTTGGACCGTGTCTTCATGTAATGTGGGATTTATAGCCATAAACCATCCCCAAGTCATCACAGTCATTACCATTTTTCTGGGCGGGTGAGATTCAAACCATCCCCAATGGTAGGTTTATGGCAGCCAGGCCCACATTCGGGAAGATTCATGTTAGATCTCATAACTGTATGTAAAATATTGGTGTAAGATATATAGGTGATTTGGTTACTCAAAATGAATCTGACAAACTGTCCTAGCTTTGTCGGAGCTCCGCAGGTGATCCCCAGCCACGCATTGTGTACGCATCCTCAAGCTCGGTCTACGGCTTGAATACAGCACCTTGGCATCAGGCTTTCCAGCCTGCAAAGGATCTAGTGGTCTAGTGAAGGCCAACAGAACACATTGTGGATGGCAAGATCCCAACAGAACACCTGGCTTGACTCAAGCCGAAAAAACAACAAAACAACAACATCCAACATCAATTTTCATGGTAATTCTTATGGATGATGGGAAAGTTTAGAGGAAACTCCTATATTGATGTTTTTTCCCATGGTTTCCGGTGAAGATTTTCCCTTCAACCGCATCATCCCCATGTGCTTCCGAGGTGAGCCCCTTCTCGGAAAGCCATCAAGTGGTTGCTCGGCGCGATGTTTGATGGTTGAAACAAGCGATGAACCCACGAAGTAGCCATGGAAAATGATGTTTTAGCCATAGAAAATGGTGTTTTACTGGGTAATACCCCACATGTTTAGCTTTTACTGTTTGTGTTGGGGTATTTAGAGGGTCTTAGATGGAAAAGTATGGCTGGTGGCTGGTGATTTTTATTAGATTTTTTCTTGACAATCATAGATGTTCCTTTCTCCCACTTTTCAGGATGACGTGATTATGATTATGATTATGATTATGATTATGATGATGGTGGTGATGGTGATGGTGATGGTGATGGTGATGGTGGTGGTGGTGGTGATGATGTTTTTGATGGTGTTGGTGTTGTTGTTGGTGTTGGTGTTGGTGTTGGTGTTGTTGGTGGTGGTGGTGGCGGTGGTGGTGGCGGCGGCGGCTGCTAATGCTGATGATGATGATGCTGATGATGATGATGATGATGATTATGAATACGAATATGATGTTTTTGTTTTTGTTTTAGGGCGTTGAAACCACCAACCAGAAGTGCAAAGTCATGGATTTGTTTCTTTGATCATCAGGAGTTTCACATGATCTTCCAGATGGTCAGCCATTTTTGCTGCACCAAGGATAAACCGGCCAGCCGCTATGCGGCGACCAAGAAAGCGAAGCTTGGATGACGGATCATGGCCTGGATCTGTGGGAACTGCCAGAGAAATGCTGCAGTTCATATCGATTCATGGTGGTTCATAGTGGTTAATAGTGGTCAATACTGGTTGGTAGTGGTGCACAGGTGGTCAATCATGGTGATTCTTTTTTATTGGTCAAAAATGGTCATAATGCACGGTATCATTGAAGAAAAACGGGTGCTGTGATGTCAATATTGGTTCATGATGGTGAATAGTAGTTAAGAATGGTGATTTGTTTTTCGATTGGATCTTTGATTGCTTACGGTCAGAATTTAGGTTAATGGTCATTGTATCACCCCGGATGATGCAGAAGACAAGGCACAGGCTTCCACGGTCAGAAGTCGAAACGAAGATGGCCCCAGGAACGAGATGATTGCGCACACCTATCGTCACATCTATGGCCTGTCCATGTGACTTGCAGCGGGATTGATGGGGCAGTTTATTCCCCGGTTGATCCCATGAAATTGGCATAGTGTTTCATAGTAGTCCCTTGAAAGTTGACTGGTGATTTCAATCATCCATATGTTTGAGGTGATTGGTTTTTGTTGATGGCACAAAGTTGGGGTCAAGTTTAGGAATCAGGAACCCTGATTTTCGTGTGTGAAACTATGGATTTTGGGGTCACTAGTGGTACTTAATGTAATGTCATGTAATATGTTCATATTTATGCAGTATTAGGGCGATGGGATGAGTATACACTGAATAGATTTTGACGTTGCTTTGAAAAACTTCACCGTTGCTGTGACCTGTGGGGCCGACCCTGCAAAAATGAGGCATTTCTGTGGCTTTATCCACATGTTTCGAGCTGACATACCCTAACAACACTGCAAAACTCTGGTGAACTACGACGGTGAATTTCTGACAATTTCGCTAGGACGGGCCTTCGGTTCTTCACCGTCTATGGGCCTTGGGGCCGTCCTGACATGTTCGCCTTTTCAGCGACCATCAAGATCCACAAAGGCTCGAGCGCTGGCTCAACCCCATGGATCTTCCCGTGATTTTCACCAAAGTCGCAGGGAATAGCTGGGATTTTGGGGTGTTAACCCCACTGATCTCGTTTTAGGGTCTAGATCCGTGGGGTTTACATCAGCTACCTTTTTCAGCCAAAGTAAGATGTCTCAAAGCTCAATAGAAACATTTTGAACACTGTCCATGGTCAACAATGCCATATCGTGCTTCCAAAAATTGTTTAGAATTGCTCGACATGACCCACACTTGCCCGACAAAAATGCTCAAAATTGCTCGAGCTGGCCCAAAAAAACGGCTCAAGACTGCTCAAAATTTGCTCAAAACTGCTCAAGATTGCTCAAAATTACTCAAAATTGCTCAAATTTGCTCAAAGTTGCTCAAAATGTCTCAAAATGTCTCACAATGGGCCAACAAGTGTCTAAAGGGGTGATTTGCTTGCATATACAGCTGCGAAAGTTGTCATTACTTGGCATTGCTGTTGCCGGTGTCTATTGTTGCATGGGCTTAAGGTCAGTGTCAATTGAGCCGAGGTCATGCCTGCTGCTACGTTCAGAACCCTCAATCGTCAGTTGCAACTGACAGGGATCACTTGTCATTAGATTGGTTGCCATTGTTTCAATCAAGGGCTTATCCCCAAAAAATCGCATTGCTTTGATAGGAAAAAACCGTTCATGCCTGCATTTTCTTGTGCTTCATTACTGCCTCTTGGTGGTACCACAATCAGACATGAACTTCTGGGATTTTTTGGGTTTTTTTTTCAGATTTGAAAGGTAGCGGATCGAAACCTGACGGATCTACACCCCAAATTGCGAACAGTGATAACCCCTAGATATAGCTGATGGGGTTTGGATTCCCGAATCAACCGGGGCCTGGAGATTTTCCCAATTTCAGGAGCTTCCCCTGACCCCTCATGTCTGGGATGAAAATGGGGAATGTGTCACCCCTTAGTTTCTCTAGCGCCTGAGTGTGCTTCACATCATGTGTTGCTTTCACCTGGAAAATCCACAATTGTGGAAAATTGTGGACATCTATTGAATCTACATGAATCTATCGTATGTCATGATTTTTAATCACTACTCGTATATATATATATATATATATGGGTTTGTCTGAAAATAGGGTATATTCCCAATTATAGCCATTTAATAGGGATAATGATCATTAACCATTGGGTTTAGGGGTACACTATTTTCAGACACACCCATATGGCATCTATTTGTCACCGTATTTCTTAATCTTGGAAGTCTCATGTCTTGTTATTTTTTCTGTGCCCCCAACTTCAAGGCCTGCCGGACCGTCGAAATTCAGGTGAGGCCTTGAAGATTTTCCAAGGCCCCGGTGGATCGGAGCTGGAACGCAGCTTCGACCGAAAGGGCTGTAAAAATTGGATTTTTATGATCAAGCGACTATCTGTCTGATGATTTTTACCAAATCCATTTTATAGGTTTATGATTTATATACAGATTTATATAGATTTAAATAGATTTAAATAGATTTATATAATTAGATGTATATGTATATTTATATTTATACAGTGATACAGAGGATGGTTTATTATCAATTGGGTTTACCATGGTTTACCACATGGTTCCTATAGTCTAATCCCATGCTCCAAAATTCTCATGGGATGTTCAATGCTCATGAATATATATATATATACATTCAGAAATTATATAGATGTACAATGGTGTATATACCAGAAATGGCTTTAACAACGACAATTCCATATCAATAGTTCCACTGGTTGGTGGTTTCAAACATTTTGTTATTTTCCATAATATATGGGATAATCCTTCCCATTGACTTTCATATTTTTCAAGATGGTTAAAATTCGAATAGAATTAATTGATCCTAATTGGCCCGATATACTTGGAATAGATTTCCAATCCCAAGTCTAATCCTATTGAGACCATTAATTGGTCTATTCCTGTCTATTCCCAGGTCTAATATTCCCAGTATTTGTATTCAATCAAATAGATTTATGGTTCCCAAGTATAGTCCAATAATTCGAATTTTGAATATTGTAATGTATAATAGTTGTAATCAAATAATTCTCTTTCTGGGAATCAATAGTAATGAATAATTATCCATTAATTATCAAGTATTCAAATAATGAGATTCAACCCATTAATTATATAATTCTTATTAATAATCTCAGAATTCCCCAATTCGAATCCCAGTCTGACACGTTTTTTTTTTACCTTAGGAGATTTCACCTACATCGACGACATCGTCCAGGGCTGTGTCGCCTCAGTGGACCGCATCCCGGCCTCCACCAAAGAGACGGCACATTTCAAGGCGGGAGATGGAGATGGGGCAAAAAAATGCTGCGAAAACCATGGTTTAACTAGCAACACATGGGAAGTTTCATGGGATCTAAGCTACATTTGTTTAAACATGGAGATGTTTTTTTGGGTTAACAAGCTGCAAAAATGGAGATGGAATGGGTGTTGAAGCTACAAAAGTGGCGATGTTTTGTGGGTGTTTAAGATACAAAAATGTGGATTTTACAATGATTTCACCAGCACAAAAATGGTGGTATCATGGGGATATAGTAAACAAAAGAATGAGGATATAATTCTTGTGAGTGATAGATTAGAGTTAGATTGGATTTGGACTAGATTTTGATTAGGATCAGAGTGGATGGATTGGTTTGGATTGGATAGATAACAAAGACACATCAGGCTGTTTGTTCAAAAACAGTTGGGGAATTGAAGGAAGAATCATTTCATGAAATGTGTACCCGCCGGAAATCTAGCCCGGCTGGTTGGGAAATCCGAAGTTGATAGTTTGAAGGAGTAATATCATCGGGAAATGGTGGATTGCCTGGGAAGCCATGTTGATTAAGTGAGGGTACTCAACAGACATAGGGAAAGAAGTTGCAAGCAACCAGAATTGGAGAAACAGATGGTACAAAGACCGGAGCTCGTTCGGAAGCAAAAGCTGAATATGAAGGTAGAATGAACACACACTAGAGACATCAAGCCATCAACGTGGAGGGCTTGTGAGACAGGGCAATTGTCGATAAGTGTTACGGCCAGGAAAATTACGGAAGAAAACCAGGACGAAGACTAGTATTTTCATCACGAAACTCTAGCAACTGCTTGGTGGATTCAAGCACGGCAGGTTGATGGGGAATGACATGTTGAAAGGAATATCCCCTGCGCCGCCAGCGCCTCGTGAGGTCTATAACTTGGGCAACAAGGATCCAGTGACAGTGACCTACATGATTGAGTGTCTTGAGTTTCCTGTCGGAAAATACCGAGACTTCCACAAGACAGGGGTGATGGTTCGGGGGCAAAGTTGAGAACACCTGACATAATTGAGTCTCTTGTGTTTCTTATGGAAAAAATATCACCATCCAAGTGTTCGAAGAACCACCCGATACCACCAGAAATGCCTCCAGAAACGCCTGGCTCCAGCGGCGCTTAAGGAGAGCTATCGGCAAAAAGGCGATCAAGAACTATGTTCCGATGCCACCCACGGGAGATGTGCTGAAGACCAGCGCAGACGTCTCGCTAGCAACTCGGCGAAAAGCTCAGCTGGTGAATGTCAAGGCCGACAAAAAAACCTGGTGGTAGAGTAGGGGGATCAACAAAAAGATCAAGTTTGCTACTTAAAAGGGTACCCTTCAAAAGTTTCACAGTCCATCACAATCCACCGGTTCCCACGATATATCCGGGTTGGATTCATGAGCAGTTTTGGATCGTCCAGGTCGTGAGCGGTTGAGATATCTGAGGCGGAAAAGGAGCTGGATTACAAGCCAACCACATCACTACAGGACGGCATCAACAAGTTTATTGCCTGGTATCTGGGCTCTGCTTTGGATGAGGCTGATGCTGACTGATGCTGATGATGATGATGATGATGGTCATGTGATCTACCCGTGTTCAGTTGTATCCCTCTTGGAAAGGACAAGGCCTGGTTGAAAACAATTTTCCCTCCTGGGGGGGCAGGGCAGGGCCCGCGATTTATTTTGAAGTGAATATGTACATATATAATACGGTAACGACATTTAAATATGTGGAGGGCGGGCCAGACCGCGAGGCCCTGGAGGTAGCATGAAATACCAGTTCGTATATTTAAATGTAGTTACCGTATGTTTAAATGAATTGGATTCTGTATGTTTGAATGGCCGGGCGGGCCAAGGAAAACCTTCCCGGAGGTAGTCTCAAATACCTGTTCGTATATTATATACAAAGTCCGTATATTTAAATGTAGTTACCGCATATATATATATATATATATATTATGACATGGTTTTATCGTATACACATGTATATCATATTCTATATAGACCCACAGCCCCGTCGGTAAACAGAGTACTTGTGTAGTCGCACCCTGATGTGCAATAAGGCCGAGATGTTCATTTTACCAGTGTTTTGTAGGGCGAAACAGACGCGTGTGCGTTGGTCTTGCATCGCAAGGTTTTTTTCATGCTTTTTTTGTCCCGAATTGGATTGGTTTTGTTTGTTCTTGTTTTCGGTCTGTGATGACTCTGTGTGACTGACCTCTTGCGGTTGTGGCGGTGGGGTGGGGTGCGGTGGGCTAATAACGTCCAAAACGCTCTTGGAATTTCCAACACGCTCTTGATGCTACGCTGTCAACTGTTTCTTGGAACTTCCAACATGCTCTTGATGCTACGCGGTCACACAACTGTTTCATGGAACTTCCAACACTCTCTTGATGCCACGCCATCAACTTTTCTCTTGGAACTTCCAACACGCTCTTGATGCTACGCCGTCAACTTTCATGGCCCCTCGCTACCGTTTCAAGCCCGACATGCAATATTGGGTTCACAACCCCTGAGCGAAAAAAACATGGGACGATTTGGAAGAGATTCTGGGATGATTCGGTCGCTTCATTTAGAGCCGCTTTTCGCCCAGTATTTTCAAGAAGGATTTTGAGTTTGAAGATGTTTGAGAATGGTCATGATGGATTTGACAGGGCACACATGCGACTGGTGTCACGACATTCGAAGATGATTTGAATTCAAGGCTCCATTCACTTCATTTCACGTCGTCCAGCGACGGCGAACGTCAGGTCCTGTGCGTACATACATATATATATAATATCATATATATATAATCATATATATATTATATAGACACATATTGATACTTTTTATATTCTGTACAATATATATATATATTTATAGATTATATACATATATATATATTGTATTCAAGGAGGGTCAGTACCACCACCAGGTATGACGGTTACTACAAGGCAGCCTGTGGATTGGTGGATGCGGCTGGGATGATCCTGATGACCCCCCATCACCAAGAGTTATCCGTAAGATGTTTGAAAAATTGAAGGGTTGGGGTGTGGTAGAACATCTCGGAGATATTCGGATATCGATTCTGGAAGTCACAAGATCCATTGTGCCAGGAGGGCCTAGGAATTTCACACGCCACAAGAGTATTTTCACTTGGAATCCCTTAGGCTGACACAGGTGATGGGTCAGCCCATTGGCTACCCCCAAGTGCGATCTGTCACTATGACAAGAAAAATCTGTCAATGGGATGGTTTCAGATTTCAGATCTTCAAAACGACAAGTCTACGATAGTCTACGTGGGGTTCCTCACTGCAACCCATATTTGCACCGAGAGAACTCCGGTAATTTAGACTCTTGATTTCTCTACCTTTTGTTTGTTTGGTCGGAGAACCCCTTCAATTCAGATGTGACCCATACCTATACCCACCATACCTTTAGGTTGGCTCAGATCACCGGAATCATTTTTTATTGGTAGTAGTCAGAAATATTGAAAACCACCTAGTGATTATTATCCCGTGATTTTCACCTTTTACCACTGTACCATCTATTTTCACATTTAAGTTATAATTGCAACTAGCAGATTTTCTGATGTTTACCATCTACAGTACCAGCCAGGACGGCTTGACGAAGGAGATGGCCAGTTATGTGCCATACTAGCCGGTTTCAACTGCGCCACCGTTGGCTTCCAAGAAGCCACCGTAACGGGCGGTTTGTTTGGGTATGGATCAAGAAATGCGGGATTTACCATGGATTTAGCCTACTTGACCGTCTCGTAAAGAGAAAAAGCAAGCCTGAAAAATATGATGGTGGAGGGTTGGAGATCTTACCTGAACGATCAGCCAATCTGTGGACCTGGACCATTGTGGACCAAATCGATTTGAGCGTCGAGTTGTGATCGGTACAGAACCCACAGGACCGGACCGGAAGGACTAATGAGGGCTTCAATGATGGGCCCGTACAAATGAAATTTATATAAATTTATGATAAACCGATATAGCCCAATCACAAAAAACTATCGTGAAACCGTGAAACGCGGTGGAATAACACAAGCTATTGTTTGTCACATTTTTGGTCGCAGCTGATTGTGGCTCAGTTGATGCGTCTTTGAGGTTTCCTGAAGTGGGGGTGCTCCCGAAATCATCCAACTCATGGATGACCATTTTTATTAGTATATGAGTATATATGAGTATTGAAACAACCATGGCGACTGGGGGATCCCGATTTCAGATAACCATTAATAGATACGAGTAAGCATTCATCATCATTGATCGACCATTATTGACAATTATGAACCAGTAGGAACCCGCCCCTTCTGGTCGTGCGGTCTTGGGTTCGCTGATCGCCCGCCGCCTGGCTGTGATGCGAGCGACGAACGAAGCAACAAAAAGTGGGCTTCTGAGAAGCTTTGAGTGGTTATACGGAGGTTTCCTTGTGGTCAATCATGACAAAATAATGGCTATCAACAGTTGATAAATGATGTATTAATGGTTATGGTTACTCTCCCAAAAACTATCGTTGGGCAAAAAAATGAAAAAACGGGTTCCATGTTAGCGCACCCATGTTAAAATTCATGAGTGGGATAAGTGCCAGGTAGGTGCCATGTTGGTGCTAGTGAATTTGGACATTTTTGCACAATTTTTGGCTGCGTGGCATACTAACATAGAACCCCACAAGCTGCCAGAGAGTGCTCATCCAAAAGTTCCATGTTAGCCATGGCGGCTGACACGGGGAATTCGGAACCAGTATTCTCTTTGTGGTGGTTGATGGATGTAAGATGCTACATAATAGCTCTTTTGACTCAATGAGTCATTTTGTCCAAGACAAATTCCAAAGTACAAATTCTGAAGATCAATTTAAAATAATTTAAACACCTACAGTACATGTCAAAAACACACACACACGGAAAAGAAAATAACATATCCTCAGCACATCTTACAAACACATCGAAAACATATTCAAAACATAAAGAGTAAACAAACACATATATTCAAACTATATATTCGTTTTCAATTTTTGATATGTTATACAGATACTTTTTCCCATTTACCCACCATAAACGTAACATTTTTCATTTTCTCATTGTAACCTGCCCGTTGGGAGGACCTCCGGCCAGAACCTCCGGGCGCCAAAGCCACGGGGACACTTAACGGGTTCCAAGTTAGCTTCCACGTTGACTTACTTACAGACGCAACGGCTCGAGGACTTCGACCCAACAGGGGAAGCTCCGGGCGGGGCCTCCGGGCGCCAAAGCCACGGGGACAGTTACCGAGTTCCACGTTAAGTTCCACGTGGACTCAACGGGAGACGCAACGGCTCGAGGACTTCGACCCAACAGGGGAAGCTCCGGGCGGGGCCTCCGGGCGCCAAAGCCACGGGGACATTTACCTGGGTCCAAGTTAGCGTCCCCGTTGCCTCAACGGGAGACGCAACGGCTCGAGGACTTCGACCCAACAGGGGAAGCTCCGGGCGGGGCCTCCGGGCGCCAAAGCCACGGGGACAGTTACCGAGTTCCACGTTAAGTTCCACGTGGACTCAATGGGAGACGCAACGGCTCGAGGACTTCGACCCAACAGGGGAAGCTCCGGGCGGGGCCTCCGGGCGCCAAAGCCACAGGGACATTTACCGAGTTCCACGTTAAGTTCCACGTTGACTCAACGGGAGACGCAACGGCTCGAGGACTTCGACCCAACAGGGGAAGGTCCGCCTGGAGCACCCGGTCCATACCCTAACAGCTAGACACCATGGACCCCAACCGGTATCTTTTCCATTGTGACGTCCCCCACACCCTGGCAGCTGGAGCCCAACATGGAAGCTAACATGGCACCCCTTTCAATTTCGCCCATACTGTAAAATCTGGAAACCAAGATCCCCCTTGTACCTTTCCCATTGTGACTTCCCCCATGCCCTGACAGCGGGAAACCAACATGGAAGCCAACATGGAAGCCAACATGGACCCCCACAGTACCTTTCCCATGGCGACTTCCCTCATACCTTCAAAGCTGGAAACAAACATGAAACCCAACATGGACCCCCATGGTACCTTTCCCATGGTGACCCCCATACCCTGAAAGCTGGAAACCAACATGGGAGCCAACAAAACAAACCCCGTTGTCCGTGCTCCGTGAGCCGTCGCTTGCAGCAAGGCTTTGCATGTGTGGCTTTGGTTTGCAGCCGAGACCAACATGGAACCCAACCGATATAAAAAACATAAGTTGAACCTTGTCATGAAAGAACCTTATCATTCTTCCCCACCCATGTCTACATTTTATTGGCAAAAGGCCTGGCACCAACAAAAATAAAAATAACATCAAAAATGGGGAAACATATTTTGGAGCATGTTGCGCCACTCAGCCCTAGTTTTTTCTTAGGTCTAGTGGCATTTGGTTTCCCCCAGCATGCTTGGGTTGAATCTGGACTGGTGTTTTTCTTTTGCATACCAGACTCCAGGAACCCGAAAACTAACTTGGAACCTGAATGGGCATTTCTTTGGAGGAAGTGAACAGCAGAAAAAACAACAAGTAAAAAAAAAATCCGGGATTTGAATGGATTTAGGGATCCTAGTTTTCCTTTACACTTGGTAAAGGCGAAAATGTGCCATTTGGGCGTTTTCGGGCTGAATCTGGACTGGTGGCCAAATTTTGTCTCCCCGTATGCTCCCCCTGGTCAGGCTCTCCTCCAGCAACCCGCTGTGCCCCCCGGGTGTGGTCGTCGAACCCACAACGGAAACCAACATGGAACCCAACGAGTTTAACTTTTGGGGGGGCCAGCTCCAGCAAATTCACCATAAAATTGTCACGGTTGTCTTTCTTTTGCTCCTTGTTGCTCTTTCCATCTCTTTCTTAGTTTGCTGATATTTGTTATCCTTTCATGTCGCTTGCTTTTTCTCTCTTCGGTGTCAGGTTTTCTGCCTGTTGCGGCTTACTTTGGAAGGTTGTGCGACGAACACGGAACCCAACACATATCCAAAAATAAGTCACGACCTTGTCTTGCAGGTGTTTTGGTTTCAGTTCTTTCCCCACCGCAGACCTGGAACCTGAATAGTTATCAAAACGTGAGCGCAATACGAAGTGAAAAGTAGGGTCGCCTGAAAGTCACTAACATGGATTTTTCAAGGAAAACGCCTTAAAAACCACTTGGGTTCCAGGTTAACCTTCAAATCACCCTTCAAGGTTGCAGATCGCTTTGTGATAACTTGTTCAAATTCCATGTTGGCTGTTTCAGGGTGCAGTTTGGGTTCAGTTTGGGCCTGCATTGGGTTCCATGTCAGTTTTGCGTGATTTTTTTGAAAATTGAAAAAGTTAGTTGCATGATTTCCTGGGGAACAAAATCCACTTGAGACCGTACCATAGGTTCATGTTAGGAGACCTCAGGAATAGCATGCAGTTCCACATTGGATTTCGGGGGTGTATATGGAGATTTCTGTGAATGCTGGACATCTATTGAAAAGCAACCAATTCAATCCATATACAGTTTATTGTCCCATTCATGGGTTTTCCAGCCATGTTTGACTACCAAAGTGTGGCTGGAAAGTATAGTGCTGTTTGAACGGTTTTTACTATGAATTACGATGACCATGATGAAGTCTGGGGCGGCAAAAATCTTCCCTCGATCCAATCCTGTCTTCAGTGTTTGATGTTTCCCGCAACCGTGGCCCGAAAATCCACCAGAAAAATCAGCCTAAAAGTAGATGACTTTGCTGGAGGTATATATTTCGCACTGTGCTTGGGGATTTCCCAGCAGGTAAGTATTAATTTATCCCCAATTACCATGTATTAATTTATCATCCCATAGATGGTTTTCCCACCTAGAACCTCGTAGGACCTGGGGATTTCCCAACTCGCCACCTTGGATCACACCGGAGAAAAATGGTCGGAATGGTCTGTTTTTTTGCTTTCCACGTTACGGAAGATCCACTTCGGTGAGGGATGGCCAATAATAAACCACCACTATATTTGATGAATTTTGATGGTATACCATCCCTTTTTGACAAAATTCGAGATGGTTTACTATTGTTCTACCATGTTCTACCAAGACTATAGAATGTAATGCCTTGGATTTGAGATGAAACCTGGTGAAGAAGCGGCGCTCATTGCATCGTTGGTTGTGGCCATTGGTAAGGGCCTTTCTTTGACCCCAAAGTATGGGTGGTAAATCATGGAAGATTTGAATGCTGACCGAACATTGTATATATACACATACATATATAATTATATTATAATTATATGTGCATCTATATTACAAGTATAGTAACTATATACTACAATATCATATGATATAATCATGCAATATCATATATATAAACAAAAATTGTGGTTCCTTTGGGCTTGATTTTTGAACAAATTCCCATTGTCGAATTGTCGATGGTTTTTCTCATCTCAAGGAACTTGACCTCAGCTGAACGTCTCAAGTTTCACAAGGACCCAAGGAACTCCGACCGATCTGTTACCGCGCCATGCCGTCGGATGGGCCTCAAAAACGCAGATTCGAGACGACAGCTGCAGAGTCCACCAAGTCAAGTACAGGACGTGTGATTCTTGTCACTGGCACAGCTGGCTTTGTGGGTTTCTTGGTGTGAATCGAAACATGAAGAAACTGAAACACTAAAAAGCAGATGGGGGTTGGAAGATGATGGGCCCAATCTTTGTGCCTGCCATGTTTTGGGGTTGATGTTTGATTTAGTGGCAGTAAGCAGCACATGGGATTCCCTTCGGGGATCATCCGATAAAATTGGAACGATACAGAGAAGATTAGCATGGCCCCTGCGCAAGGATGACACGCACAAATCGAGAAGTGTTTTGGCAGAGGGCAGGTAAACCAACCACAGCGTCTCAAATAGTCCTTAAACAACAAACGGAAATTTTACTTGAAGTGTTGGCCACTCCGCCGGACGATCCATATCATCACGTCATTTTTAGCTCAGCCTACAGGGATCATATTGCTGCAACACAAAAGACAACAAGAGGCCGCCCTTCACAACATTGGCTACACAACATGCTTAGTTTTCTTCAAGAACCCACCAACCTCTACTTTTTTCATCACCCTTCCATTCAAAACCCTATGAGACTCAAACAGTTGCTTCAAAACACACCAAATTTCAAAGGCTTCCTGGTGATGGCGCCAACGCGCGCTTCTAATTTTCCTGTTCCTTTTGGTCATTTACGCGCAAGGCAGGAGTAAAAAAAAAAACAGCACATGCCAAAATGGTTCAAGAACCGACGGGTCCTTCAGAAATCTTTGCACATGCAAATTGGAATTGGTGTTCCCAAAAATACGGAGGATACCCAAAGTCCAGCAACATGGGTTAGACTAGCATGTTTCATTGTGGGGGTGAACAGCTAACCAAGGGTTGTCATCCAGTGTTGGAACAAAGCCGTTGCAAAGCAGCTGGCCTCCCGGACCCCGGAATCTAACAAAGCCACGGAAAATCCACCCTTGATCATTTCGGACCCATGGATTTCCGCAGTTTTTTGGTGACCACTTACTGAATAGGAACCATTCATGTAACCATGGTTAACACACAAAAGTCCCCAAGCATCCCAAGCCCAGTTCCTCTTCAGTATTGGGATGAGCGTTGGCGAGGCTATCATTGCGCCAAATTCTTCAAAAAACGTGGCGATGGCGTGCTGGGACTGGATAATTTCAATCCTTACTATCCAGTGGCTGGGTGTGAACTGCTAGGTGAACTGTGGCTGAAATGGCTGAAATGGATTGAAATGGATGTGATATACTAACTGGCCATCTTGATGGTGGTAAATGAAGAGAAAGGACTTTTTTTGGGGGGAGTTTGGGAGCACTTTCCTGTTTGGTGGTTTCTACTTTTTTGTTGGCATTTTCCACGCAAATGGGATGATCCGATATCCGTGTAGGTGGGTGAAAGCAGCAGTTTTGTTAGCTACTTGATTTTGACGATTCGGACAGCTGCAGAAAATGGGAATGGAGCCCCACTGGCATCGGCATCAGATTGGTGTCATCATCGTCATCATAAACCGAACAGGCCTGCACTCCTCGATGAGATCCCAAAAAAGTATAAGAAGAAGCCACAAAATCTACTTTGGATGTGCATCCCAGTTGGCAAGCGGTTTTTACATGGTTTTAAACCCATATACAACTGGTATAATTGTTCCATATGTATATATTAGGGGGTTCCATAAATGGGGCATCCCCAAAATGGTTGCTTCATAATGGACATCTTATAAACATGGATGATTTAGGGGTACCGGGGTACCCTCATTTTAGGAAACTTCCATATGTATATGATATATATATACATATGTGTGTGTGTCTGAGAGATCATGTGGTTATTACTCATTTATAGCATCAAAAAAGCACGCTTCGCCAGCAGGATCACTCGACCGAGGTAGGCATCAAGTACGACCGAGCGCAGGACTTGGAAGACTCCGGCGTCTACACCATTAAGGCAGATCTCAACGACAGAAGCATCTGGGATTGATATCCTGCAAATGGAAGTTAGAAACACTGGATGATGTTAAATTTCACGAGGTCTTGGGGTTTTGGGATTTTTAGGGTTTATTGGGTTTCAAAGTCAAAATGCATCATTTCGAGCAACCTGCGCGCAGAAGGGTCGTGAGGAAAAGTGTTGAATGTTGTGATTTTTGTTGAATCAGTGGTCCACAGGTCCAACTGGCGTTCCAGAGAAACTGAAACAGACGGAAACAGTCGGAAAAAAATGGATTGCGCGGAAAGTTTTTTTTTGCAAAAAATTGGTTGATTGACAATTTGGGCATGATCACGCCGGGCCGCTCCCGACTGTTTCCGACTGTTTCCGACTGTTTCCGACTGTTTCCGACTGTTTCCAACTGTTTCCGACTGTTTCCGACTGTTTCAGTTTCTCTGGAACGCCAGTTGGACCTGTGGACCACTGATTCAACAAAAATCACAACATTCAACACTTTTCCTCACGACCCTTCTGCGCGCAGGTTGCTCGAAATGATGCATTTTGACTTTGAAACCCAATAAACCCTAAAAATCCCAAAACCGGAAGACCTCGTGAAATTCAATACTGGATGATACTGGATGATACTGGATGATACTGGATGATACTGGATGATACTGGAGGATACTGGAAGTTAGAAACCAGGGTTAACCAGAGAAGTAACTGGATGATAGTCGTTATGACATGTTACAACATGTTATAACCCAGTGCCGGTGTTGCCGGTAAACATCTTCTGGGGTTGTCCAGAAATGGCGGAGCTGGCCGGCGAGTCCAGATTTCACATGGGGAAAACGTTGAGAGGCTGACGCGATGTGATAGGCGTACTCTTCCCAAGGCTGTAGTGTTCCAATATTCCCAGGGTATGCAAATTCAAGGTCCTGGCGACTTGCAGATGTGGGCCAGCCAATGTTGGGGATTAAATCCTAACTTTCTGCAACATGAGGAAAATGTGGTAAACCCAATGCCACATCCACAGACCATCCCCAAAATTACCATAAATGGGTGGTAAATATCATACCCAAATGGGGTAGGTTTATGGCATTGGGTTGCCCACATGATTGCTTCTGAACCATCCCATTCTGGGGTCAAAAACCATCAAAAACCCATGGGCAGCAGGGCCTGGCCGCCAAGGGAATGCCATCCATCTGAGCTACGCTTGAGAAATCTTGAGATTTTTCAGGTATGTTGACATACACAATTGATTAACATCCACATGCATCAAGCTTTCAGCTCTGCTCCACATGCTCCACATGCTCCACATTCGGCAGACTCAGGTATGTTGGATCACATCCTCCAGGAGTACAAGGTCACCCACGTTTTGGCACTGGCTGCGCAGGCAGGTGTGCGATATGCCACCAAGGACCCTGCCTCCTATGTGGCTTCCAACGTGGCAGGCACCGGGGGGAGGGGGACTGGATTTTGAGCAACTGGGGAAGGGTAGGTTGAGACCTTTAGAATAATTAATGTGGTAAGCCCAGTAAGAAGAGGGATTTAACTCCAAAATCAGAGGGATACTATGGGGGTTTAGCCAACAAATATGAGGATCATGGATCATAATGTGGTAAAACCGAACAACAAAGCATCCAATTAATGGGATTATGATGGGAAAATGACGCGAACTTGGGATTATATGAAATTACTACTACTGACTCAACCATTAAACCCAATCATAAACCATCCCCAATAGAGGTTTCTGAAACTGGGTATAGCCCTAGAAATGGCATGATGTTCCTAAAATGACCACCAGTCATGGTTGGTTAATCAGATGGTTTATGATGTGGTCACTGGGAATTGCCGATCCTGATTCAACCATTGAAATAGTCATGGATCAAAAATCGATCCACGATTCTGCAACAAAAATATTGGGGGATTCTTGTTTTTTCCCGTTGATTTTTCTATTTCACTTTTGATTGATTCACTGGGACTGGGGATTCTTTTGCAAGCCGATTATCGCCGATTCTTGACTTTTTGCTGGGATGCGCTGGCAAATCCAAGTATATCCAAGTCATCCAAGCAATCTAACCTGGGCTGCAAAATCCTCCACTCATAGTCACTGATACCGTTGATACCCTCTGGTGTCATCAAACGATATCAAACATAGCTGAGAAACCCCCGAACTAAATGGAGGTTTACTGTAGTGGGAAAATCATCGAACTAAATGGTGATTTTGCCATGGCCATGTTTGATGACACCAGAGGGTAGTGATGCACATCGAATCGGGGAATAACATGTAGCAAATCGAGCCTCATCAGGGGCAGGAAGTCATGGGGACTGCAACCAAGGCGGTGCAGCCATTCTCAGATCATGATGGGTATGTTTTACCTGAAATTTAGTTCCCGTGAGTTGAGCTATTCAACTTTGGACGTTCATGATTTATGACAATTTTTCCTTTGATATTTGATATTTGATATTTACCCAATTTTATCCCCAAGATTGTTGTATCTCTATTCAGGCTGGTCGTCCACCAAACATTTATCCCATCCCATCCCATTCTGCAGAGAAGCTCCAGGTTTCGTTCAACTCTTGGAAGCTTGTCGCTTTTGTGACTCGGCATTGATGGTGTTGCGATCATATCGGTGAGACCAGAGGCCACTATGTGTGTGTGTGGGTACTTGGTCATCATGTGGTATATAGAAGTTATATAATTAAGATTAATTAAGTGTATATTTACATATATATATACTGTATATATTTATATATATATATATGTTATACAAGTTGCACACACATATATATATTAATATATATTTGCAAGTATACTCATTACATGCCGAGAAAGCCTTTGACCCTTGATTGTGTTTACATTGGAGAGAGGGAACCATAAAATTTCATGCTGGCTATCCAAGTATGGCTCCATTTTGCCCGGGTGGTCCAAGACAATCGAGCTGGTGTTGTCTTGTTTGAGCTGGCTCAAGCTGGTCATTCTTTTCCTAGTTTGGACCGTTTCTTCATGTAATGTGGGATTTATAGCCATAAACCATCCCCAAGTCATCACAGTCATTACCATTTTTCTGGGCGGGTGAGATTCAAACCATCCCCAATGGTAGGTTTATGGCAGCCAGGCTTTCCCACATTCGGAAAGATTCATGTTAGATCTCATAACTGTATGCAAAATATTGGTGTAAGATATATAGGTGGTTTGGTTACTCAAAATGAATCTGACAAACTGTCCTAGCTTTGTTGGAGCTCCGAAGGTGATCCCCAGCCACGCATTGTGTACGCATCCTCAAGCTCGGTCTACGGCTTGAATACAGCACCTTGGCACCAGGCTTTCCAGGCTGCAAAGCATCTAGTGGTCTAGTGAAGGCCAACAGAACACATTGTAGATGGCAAGATCCCAACAGAACACCTGGCTTGAGAGTTTTGAAAGAAACATGTTCCCCAAAGAGTCAGAATCGTTGAACCATGTTAAAGCAATTTAAATCATCAAGTGCATGATATACATGCATTCCGAAAAACAACAAAACAACAACATCCAACATCAATTTTCATGTCAGTTCTTATGGATGATGGGAAAATTTGTAGGAAACTCCTATATTGATGGTAAAAACCATGGTTTCCGGTGTAGATTTTCCCTTCAACCGCATCATCCCCATGTGCTTCCGAGGTGAGCCCGTTCTCGGAAAGCCATCAGGTGGTTGCTCGGCGCGATGTTTGATGGTTGAAACAAGCGATGAACCCACGAAGTAGCCATGGAAAATGATGTTTTAGCGATAGAAAATGGTGTTTTAGTGGGTAATACCCCACATGTTTAGCTTTTACTGTTTGTGTTGGTGTATTTGGAGGGTCTTAGATGGCAAAGTATGGCTGGTGGCTGGTGATGTTTATTAGATGTTTGCTTGACAATCATAGATGTTCCTTTCTCCCACTTTTCAGGATGACTTGATTATGATTATGATTATGATTATGATTATGATGATGGTGGTGATGGTGATGGTGATGGTGATGGTGATGGTGGTGATGGTGGTGGTGGTGGTGGTGATGTTTTTGATGATGGTGTTGGTGTTGGTGTTGTTGGTGGTGGTGGCGGTGGTGGTGGCGGCTGCTGCTGCTGCTGCTGATGCTAATGATGATGCTGATGATGATGATGATGATGATGAATACGAATATGATGTTTTTGTTTTTGTTTTAGGGCGTTGAAACCACCAACCAGAAGTGCAAAGTCATGGTTTTGTTTCTTTGATCATCAGGAGTTTCACGTGATCTTCCAGATGGTCAGCCATTTTTTGCTGCACCAAGGATAAACCGGCCAGCCTCTATGCGGCGACCAAAAAAGCGAAGCTTGGATGACGGATCATGGCCTGGATCTGTGTGAACTGCCAGAGAAATGCTGCAGTTCATATCGATTCATGGTGGTTCATAGTGGTTAATAGTGGTCAATATTGGTTGGTAGTGGTGCACAGGTGGTCAATCATGGTGATTCTTTTTTATTGGTCAAAAATGGTCATCATGCACGGTATCATTGAAGAAAAACGGGTGCTGTGATGTCAATATTGGTTCATGATGGTGAATAGTAGTTAAGAATGGTGATTTGTTTTTTCGATTGGATCTTTGATTGCTTACGGTCATAATTTAGGTTAACATAATGGTCATTGTATCACCCCGGATGATGCAGAAGACAAGGCACAGGCTTCCACGGTCGGAAGTCGAAACGAAGATGGCCCCAGGAACGAGATGATTGCGCACACCTATCATCACATCTATGGCCTGTCCATGTGACTTGCAGCGGGATTGATGGGGCAGTTTATTCCCCGGTTGATCCCATGAAATTGGCATAGTGTTTCATAGTAGTCCCTTGAAAGTTGACTGGTGATTTCGCAATCATCCATATGTTTGAGTTGATTGGTTTTTGTTGATGGCACAAAGTTGGGGTCAAGTTTAGGAATCAGGAACCCTGATTTTCGTGTGTGAAACTATGGATTTTGGGGTCATGGTATTTAATGTAATATGTCATGTAATATGTTCATATTTATGCAATATTAGGGCGACGGGAATAGATTTTGACGTTGCTTTGAAAAACTTCACCATTGCTGTGACCCGTGTGCCTGCAAAAATGAGGCATTTCTGTGGCTTTATCCACATGTTTCGAGCTGACATACCCTAACAACACTGAAAAACTCTGGTGAACTACGACGGTGAATTTCTGACAATTTCGCTAGGACGGGCCTTCGGTTCTTCACCGTCTATGGGCCTTGGGGCCGTCCTGACATGTTCGCCTTTTCAGCGACCATCAAGATCCACAAAGGCTCGAGCGCTGGCTCAACCCCCATGGATCTTCCCGTAGTTTTCACCAAAGTCGCAGGGAATAGCTGGGATATTTTACCGGGGCCTGGAGATTTTCCCAATTGAGCTTCCCCTGACCCAAACATGTCTGGGGTGAAAATGAGGGATGTGTCACCCCTGAGTTTCTCTAGCGCCTGAGTGTGCTTCACATCATGTGTTGCTTTCACCTGGAAAATCCACAATTGTGGAAAATTGTAGACATCTATTGAATCTATATGAATCTATCGTATGTCATGATTTTTAATCAGTACTCGTATATATATATGGCATCTAATTGTCACCGTATGTCTTAATCTTGGAAATCTCATGTCTTGTTATTTTTTCTGTGCCCCCAACTTCAAGGCCTGCCGGACCGTCGAAATTCAGGTGAGGCCTTGAAGATTTTCCAAGGCCCCGGTGGATCGGAGCTGGAACGCAGCTTCGACTGAAAGGGCTGTGAAAATTATTATTTTTTTAATAATCAAGCGCCTATCTGTTTGATGTTTTTTTTACCAAATCCATTTTATAGATTTATGATTTATATATAGGTTTATATAGATCTATAAAGATTTGTATATATATATATATAGATTTATATAATTAGATCTATATTTATAATTATATTTACACAGTGATACTGAGGATGGTTTATTATCAATTGGGTTTACCATGGTTTACCACATGGTTCCTAGTCTAATCCCATGCTCCAAAATTCTCATGGGATGTTCAATATTAATATATATATATATACATTCAGAAATTATATAGATGTACAATGGTGTATATACCAGAAATGGCTTTAACAACGACAATTCCCTATCAATAGTTCCACTGGTTGGTGGTTTCAACCATTTTTTATTTTCCCTAATATATGGGATAATCCTTCTCATTGACTTTTATTTTTTTCAAGATGGTTAAAACCACCAACCAGATATAGATACTATAGGAGTCATGTATTTTCTTTAATATCCCATATATTCTAAGATTAATAGAATTGGATTCGAATAGAATTAATTGATCCTAATTGGTCCGATATAATTGGAATAGATTTCCAATCCCAAGTCTAATCCTATTGAGACCATTATATAATTGGTCTATTTCTGTCTATTCCAATATTTGTATTCAATCAAATAGATTTATTGTTCCCAAGTATAGTCCAATAGTTCGATTATTGAATATTGTAATATAGTTATAATCAAATATATAATTCTCTTACTGGGAATCAATAGTAATGAATAATTATCCATTAATTATCAAGTATTCAAATAATGGGATTCAAGCCATTAATTATATAATTCTTATTAATAATCTCAGCATTCCCCAATTCGAATCCCAGTCTGACACGTTTTTTTTTTACCTTAGGAGATTTCACCTACATCGACGACATCGTCCAGGGCTGTGTCGCCTCAGTGGACCGCATCCCGGCCTCCACCAAAGAGACGGCACATTTCAAGGCGGGAGATGGAGATGGGGCGAAAAAAATGCTGCGAAAACCATGGTTTAACTAGCAACACATGGGAAGTTTCATGGGATCTAAGCTACATTTGTTTAAACATGGAGATGTTTTTTTGGGTTAACAAGCTGCAAAAATGGAGATGGAATGGGTGTTGAAGCTACAAAAGTGGCGATGTTTTGTGGGTGTTTAAGATACAAAAATGTGGATTTTACAATGATTTCACCAGCACAAGAATGTGGGTGATAGATTAGAGTTAGATTGGATTTGGACTAGATTTTGATTAGGATCAGAATGGATGGACTGGATTGGATTGGATAGATAACAAAGAAACATCAGGCTGTTTGTTCAAAAACAGTTGGGGAGTTGAAGGAAGAATCATTTCATGAAATGTGTACCCGCCGGAAATCTAGCCCGGCTGGTTGGGAAATCCGAACTTGATAGTTTGAAGGAGTAATATCATCGGGAAATGGTGGATTGCCTGGGAAGCCATGTTGATTAAGTGAGGGTACTCAACAGACATAGGGAAAGAAGTTGCAAGCAATCAGAATCGGAGAAACACATGGTACAAAGACCGGAGCTCGTTCGGAAGCAAAAACTGAATATGAAGGTAGAATGAACACACACTAGAGACATCAAGCCATCAACGTGGAGGGCTTTTGAGACAGGGCAATTGTCGATAAGTGTTACGGCCAGGAAAATTTGAGACCACCAGGGACTTTCAGAAGAAACCAGGACGAAGACTAGTATTTTCACGACGAAACTCTAGCAACTGCTTGGTGGATTCAAGCACGGCAGGTTGATGGGGAATGACATGTTGAAAGGAACCCCTGCGCCGCCAGCGCCTCGTGAGGTCTATAACTTGGGCAACAAGGATCCAGTGACAGTGACCTACATGATTGAGTGTCTTGAGCTTCCTGTCGGAAAATACCGAGACTTCCACAAGACAGGGGTGATGGTTCGGGGGCAAAGTTGAAAACACCTGACCTAATTGAGTCTCTTGTGTTTCTTATGGAAAAAATATCGCCATCCAAGTGTTCGAAGAACCGCCCGATACCACCAGAAATGCCTCCAGAAATGCCTGGCTCCAGCGGCGCTTAAGGAGAGCTATCGGCAAAAAGGCGATCAAGAACTATGTTCCGATGCCACCCACGGGAGATGTGCTGAAGACCAGCGCAGACGTCTCGCTGGCAACTCGGCGAAAAGCTCAGCTGGTGAATGCCAAGGCTGACAAAAAAACCTGGTGGTAGAGTAGGGGGATCAACAAAAAGATCAAGTTTGCTGTACATTTGCTACTTAAAAGGGTACCCTTCAAAAGTTTCACAGTCCATCACAATCCACCGGTTCCCACGATATATCCGGGTTGGATTCATGTGCAGTTTTGGATCGTCCAGGTCGTGAGCGGTAGAGATATCTGAGGCGGAAAAGGAGCTGGATTACAAGCCAACCACATCACTACAGGACGGCATCAACAAGTTTATTGCCTGGTATCTGGGCTCTGCTTTGGATGAGGATGCTGCTGCAGCTGATGATGATGCTGATGATGATGATGATGGTCATGTGATCTACCCGTGTTCAGTTGTATCCCTCTTGGAAAGGACAAGGCCTGCTTGAAAACAATTTTCCCTCCTGGGGGGGCAGGGCAGGGCCCCCGATTTATTTTGAAGTGAATATGTACATATATAATACGGTAACGACATTTAAATATTTGGAGGGCGGGCCAGACCGCGAGGCCCTGGAGGTAGCATGAAATACCAGCTCGTATATTTAAATGTAGTTACCATCTGATTAAACGAATTGGATTCCGTATGTTTAAATAGCCGGGCGGGCCAAGGAAAACCTTCCCGGAGGTAGTCTCAAATACCTGTTCGTATATTATATTTAAAAGTCCATATATTTAAATGTAGTTACCGTGTATATATATATATTTATTATGACGTGGTATATCGTATACACATGTATATCATATTCCATATGCACCCACAGCCCCGTCGGTAAACAGCGTACTTTTGTAGTCGCACCCTGATGTGCAATAAGGCCGAGATGTTCATTTTACCGGTGACGCGTGCGCGTTGGTCTTGCATCGCAAGGTTTTTTTCATGCTTTTTTTTGTCCCGAATTAGATTGGTTTTGTTTGTTCTTGTTTTCGGTCTGTGATGACGCTGTGTGACTGACCTCTTTTTTTTGTGGCGGTGGGGTGGAGTGCGGTGGGCTAATAACGTCCAAAACGCTCTTGGAATTTCCAACACGCTCTTGATGCTACGCTGTCACGCAACTGTTTCTTGGAACTTCCAACACTCTCTTGAGCCATGCCATCAACTTTCTCTTGGAACTTCCAACACGCTCTTGATGCTACGCCGTCAACTTTCATGGCCCCTCGCTACCGTTTCAAGCCCGACATGCAATATTGGGTGCAAAACCCCTGAGCGAAAAAAAACATGCGACGAATTGGAAGAGATTTCTGGGATGATTCGGTCGCTTCATTTAGAGTCGCTTTTCGCCCAGTATTTTCAAGATGGATTTTGGGTTTGAAGATGTTTGAAAATGATCATGATGGATTTGACCGGGCGCACATGCGACTGGTGTCACGACATTCGAAGATGATTTGAATTCCAGGCTCCATTCACTTCATTTGACATCGTCCAGCGACGGCGAACGTCAGGTCCTGTGCGTACATATATATTTATTATTATTATTATTAATTCTTATTATTATATTATTACTATGATGATTATTATTATTAATTATTATTATATTATTATTTTTTTACTATGATTATTATTATTATATATATATACATATATATGCACATATTGATACTTTTTTATATTCTGTATAATATATAAATATATATATATACATTGTATTCAAGGAGGGTCAGTACCACCACCAGGTATGACGCTTACTACAAGGCCCTTTCCGTGGATTGGTGGATGCGGGGATGATCCTGATGAGCCCCCATATCTCGGAGATATTCGGATACCTTCCGGTAAACATACAAAAAGCTATTGAAAATGGCCATTTATAGTAGATTTTCCCATGAAAAATGGTGATTTTCCATAGCCATAGCTATGTTAGTTTACCAGAGGGTATCGATTCTGGAAGTCACAAGATCCATTGTGCCAGGAGGGCCTAGGAATTTCACACGCCACAAGAGTATTTTCACTTGGAATTCATTAGGCTGACAAAGGTGATGGGTCATCCCATTGGCTACCCCCAAGTGCGATCTGTCACTACGACAAGAAAAATCTGTCAATGGGATGGTTTCAGATTTCAGATCTTCAAAACGACAAGTCTACGATAGTCTACGTGGGGTTCCTCACTGCAACCCATAATTACACCCAGAGAACTCCGGTAATTTAGACTCTTGATTTCTCTACCTTTTGTTTGTTTGGTCGCAGTAGCCCTTCAATTCAGGTGTGACCCATACCTACCCACCATACCTTTAGGTATGGTCGGTCAAAGCTCAGATCCCCGGAAGCATTTTTTTATTGGTAACAGGATGTAACAGTCAGAAATACTGAAAATCACCTATCGTGATTATAATCCCCTGATCTTCACCGTTTACCCTTGTACCAGCCAGGACGGCTTGACGAAGGAGATGGCCAGCTATGTGCCATACTAGCCGGCTTCACCTGCGCCACCTTTGGATTCCATGGCCACCGTAACGGGCGGTTTGTTTGGGTATGGATCAAGAAATGTGGGATTTACCATGGATTTAGCCTACTTGACCGTCTCGTGAAGAGAAAAAACAAGCCTGAAAAATATGATGATGGAGGGTTGGAGATCCTACCTGAACGATCAGTCCATCTGTGGATCTGGACCATTCTGGACAAAATCGATTTGAGCGTCGAGTTGTGATCGGTACAGAACCCGCAAGACCGGACCGGAAGGACTCACGCAGGCTTCAATGATGTGCCCGTACAAATGGAATTTATATAAACTTATGATATACCGATATAGCCCAATCACAAAAAGTTATCGTGAAACCGTGAAACGGGGTGGAATAACACAAGCAATTGTTTGTCCCATTTTGGATCGCAGCTGATTGTGGCTCAGTTTTATACGTCTTGGAGGTTTCCTGAAGTGGGGGTGCCCCCAAATCATCCAACTCATGGATGACCATTTTAATTAGTATATGAGTGTATATTAGGATTGAAACAACCATGGCGACTGGGGGATCCCGACTTCAGATAACCATTAACAGATATGATTAAGCATTCATCATCATTGATCAACCATTATTAACAACTATGAACCAGTAGGAACCCGCCCTTTCTGGTCGTGCGGTCTTGGGTTCGCTGATCACCCGCCCCCTGGCGGTGATGCGAGCGACGAACGAAGTAACAAAAAGTGGGCTTCTGAGAAGCTTTGAACGGTTATACGGAGGTTTCCTAGTGGTTAATCATGATTAATAATGGCTAGCAACTGTTGATAAATGATGATGATTTAATGGATATGAATGGCTATGGTTATAATTATGGAGATTTCAGTGAATGCTGGACATCTATTGAAAAACCACCAATTCAATCCATATACAGTTTATTTTCCCATGAAAAAACTTTATAGGTATTCATCCGTGTTCCGGCCATGTTTGACTACAGGTAGCTGTTTGGGAATGTGCACGGTAGCTAGAAGCTACCGGAGGATATAGCTGCATGCTCCTTAGGCGTCTTATGGCCATCTTTTCCATCCCGAAAACAGTCTTTGTGGCCAATCGTAACTCACCAAAACAAGATAAACTCGGAATCCTTCCAGATTCCACATCCAGGACATCGCATGCACTGCTTTTGTGATATATGTATTATATATCCCTCCAACAAACAATGGTGGCTATAGATGATTCACCTTGAAATTCTTCGTCAAAAAATGGTCATGTTACCCTCTGGTACTCAAACTTGGCAACGGACAATCTCATCTTTAGGTGGATAATTTTCACATTATTTAACAATTCCATTTAGTTCGGGGATTTCCCAGCTGGCCATCTTGGATTACCGGTAATTTCATTAAGAATTAGGAACCATTACTCACCATGATTCACCATTGAATCACCACTAAAATCGTGGGACTGGCGCGGCCCCCATTGACTTCCCAAGATGTTTTGTAAATCACCTTGCAGGTCCCTTGTGCTGCCCTCCCGGGCCGGCGGAAGGGAAAGCAGGCCGGCAGCTGATGGTTCTTTTCGGTCACCCCAAGAAAAGATACACAGAAGTACCGAAAAGATCAGAAAAGTAATTAAGAACCTGTTGGAGTGGTAGAATAGAGGAATATGTCAGATTAAATTGAATGTTACTTTTTCATGTGTTTCTTAAATTGCTTTTCAGGATTTTTAGTGCCTGCGAGCTTTGTTCAATGTCTTGGAAACTTCTGAGGCCCCTATGCAATGTCATCCATTTGTATTATACTTGTGAAATAGATATACAAACATGTAAAACATGTCTATATATAGATATATATATATATATGTATAGATGGATCTATGCATATAGATATAGATCTCTGCATACATAATGACAAATAAATAGATAAGCAAATAAATAAATACACAGATAGACAAACAGATAGACATATACACATGATATATATATTTATATATATAGAGAGTATATAGACATTACATATCCCATGGATTCCCATTGGTCCCTATCCCGTTTTTAAAACGTGGCGGTTTCAGCCCCATCAGCGGCTTCGGAGGTGTGTCCTACAAAAGGCTCTCGGGGATCCTGGATGGTCGCTTTGATCTGTCGCCCGTCCTGGACTTTGGTTCGCTGGACAGGCGGGGGCCCCCGTTCGAGCGATCGCCTCCAGTTGAGATGTGGCTGTGGCTGAATTCTCTTGCTTCAAAAACCCTCTGGCTATTTCACATAGCGAAAAATTGTTCATTGTTAGAGGATAAACATGATATCTTAACCTCTCAAAAATGGTGGATTTTGCCAGTTCGCTATGTTAAATAACCAAACGGTAGATATAACGAACTCGTTTTCAAACGGGGTTTATTTCAACCAAGCAACAGCATCGCTAACCTTTGGGGCATCGTCCTCTAGGGTCATTGTTGCTTTCATCAGCGACTGGATGGGTAGATTTTCTAACCATGTTCAACCATAGAAAATTGAAAGTTTAACCATAGAAACCATATCATAACCATAGAACATGACTTGTCTTTTTTGCTATAAATGGACTGGTTGGTGGTTTGGAACATGAATGGATTATGACTTTCCATTCAGTTGGGAATAATTCATAATCCCAACTGACGAACTCACTCCATGATGAATCAGAGGGGTAGGTGGCTCAACCACCATGCAGTGGATAGTTTAAACATATGTCATCGGATATTCTTGGCCGACGGAAAACCCAAGGATTTAATGGAAGTGTTTGCCTCGGGAAGTCATTGAGATGATATGGGATTCATGACTGGTACAGTTCGCTATTGAACATGGCCCATAGAAATAGTTGATTTACCGACTAAAAGTGGCGATTTCCCATAGTTATGTTAGTTTACCAGAGGGTAATACAAGGATGTATTGAAGCAATAATTATCCACCCGTATGGATTGATGGCATATAAAACATCCATCAATGGTAAAGTTAGGGATGTTTCACCATTGAACTGTCAGACCATGCTGTGGGAACTTCAGGACCCTAAAATGGAGGGTACCTTACCACATTTTTGGACATATTTGTTGGATCATTTCCCGAAATTTAGGCCTTCTATATGGTAGGTTACCTCCAACTTAGGTAGCTTAATGGCCTTTCATCTTAGGATATTCTTGGGATACGAGTACAATATTAATGATGTGATTGCAATTTCGAATTTCACACGGCAACAAATGTAGATAAGGATGACCATGATGATGATGATGATGATGGTGATGATGATGATCATCATCATCATTATCCCTATAAAATAGCCATAAATTGTGGTTACATACCCCGCTGATGTTGATGTTATTGTTGTGGTTGGGGAGTGTTGGCTGCTATTGTCACGATGGTCCTATACACTATGTTCTTAGACTACACTATTATACATATATATAATTATAGTATCACATGTTATAGTATATTATCATTTATGATCATTTATTATCCTGTATTATCATATATTATCATGTATTACCATATATTATCATATATTATCTTTTATTATCATATATTACCATATATTATGATTTATTATCATTTATCATCATATATTGTCATATATTTTCATATATTATCATTTATTATCATCTATTATCATATATTATCATATATTATCATATATTATCATATATGTTCATGTATTTTCATTTATTATCATGTATTAGCATATGTTTTGTGTTGGTGCTGCTCATGATTTGCAATAGGAATGGTATAACGTCAGTCGGTCGTTGAGAGTTCGTTAAAGCTTTCGTTGAAGATTTCGTGGCAATCCTTGTGGCAATCCATTTTGCCACACCTTTTGCCACAAAAAATGATCGTGAGAATTTCGTTGAAATTTCGTCAAAGATTTCGTTACTTCAACTCAAGTTTGACGAAATTTGAACGAATTGTTTGACGAAATTTTGACGAATTTTTTTTGTGGCAAAATGTTGTGGCAAAACGTTTTGCCACAAGGAAAAATTCGTCAAAATGCAGGGTTTTGACGAAATTTTCCTTGTGGCAAAACGTTTTGCCACAACATTTTGCCACAAAAAAAATTCGTCAAAATTTCGTCAAAGATTTCGTTGCTTCAATTCAAGTTCTGACGAAATCCTAACAAAATTCTGACGAAAGAATTTGTGGCAAAATCTTGTGGCAAAACGTTTTGCCACAAAGCACCCGACGAAAAGTCTGACGAAATTCTGACGAAATGAAAATGAAAGAAACAACAAAGAAAATCCTTATACCAGAACATATTGCAAGTGGTAGGAAATCATGGTGGAGTTCGATCGCAACATATATTATCATATATTTTTCAAATATTATCATATTTTCATATATTATCATATATTATCATCTATTATCATCTATTATCATATATTTTCATATATTATCATTTATTATCATATATATATATATGTATTTGAATCCATATTTATCTATATCTATATATCTATCCATCTATCTATCTACCTATCTATCTATGTATCTATCTATGTATCTATCTATCCATCTGTCTGTCTGTCTATCTATCTATCTGTCTGCCTTTCTATCTATCTATCTACCTACCTATCTATCTATCTATCTATTTATCTATCTATCTATCTATCTATCTATCTATCTAACAGCTATACGCAGATCAACCTCTGTCAGGTTCATGACCTCTGAGACACCCCTGGCGGTGGCTGCAGCCCAGCGCTTGCTGCAACGGAAGGGCGGGGTCTTGGAGCCCCTGAAGAGCCCGTATGAGTGCCTTGGAATCGACGAAAAGGGCCCCAGGGCCTTTTTGGGAAAGTTATATGGAATAAGTAAGAAAAGGGGTTATATAATAGGTATATAATGGTATATATATTATATGTCATGGTATATGTAAATGCCCTTTTGGGGGATATGAAAAAATGGTGCGGGATTTGATGATTTGATGCACTAGTTACATGGTAAATACACGGTTGGGATTTTGACATGGCCAATTAAATTGCACATTAGCGTATTTACATGTATTTATGTACCAGCCCCAAAAAATTTAATGTTGGTGATTTTGACCAATATACATTTATGATGTATCAATTAAAATATAGTGCGCAATGGGGTCATCGTTGTAGATACAGACGCTGTTGCTGTCGTTGTCGTTGGTGCTAGTGGTGCTGATGCTGTCCTGGTGGTAGTCGTGGTTCATATTGTATTTAATTGTTAAGTTGATAGGGATCGAAACTTGCAATGATTGTTGACTTTTTATCAATATAGACTAGCTTGTTGCTGTAGTGTTAATAACGTAATACTGCCCATATTATCCTATAATTTAACAAACAGGAACCATTTAGTTAGATGAAATGCTTATTAAACATTGTGATTCCCAATGCTACGTAACAAATTACTAGAGGATACTGCACTAGGAATTAAGCATAGCTCTGCAATTTTCCATGTATAGAAAAGGCAAATCCTCCCAAAACATGGGTAAATTGACCCTTTAAGGTCCTTTCTTGGGTTCTATACTTGTTACCCTCCGGTAATCAAACATGGCTTTCAAATCACCCATTTATGTTGATTTTCCCCGTAGGCCTCTATTTATAGATGATGTCCAGTTGCCAGGTTTGATTACACCAGAGGGTAATTTCATTAATAAGCATTAATCGCCATTATCAACCACTCTATAAATCTCCATATTCTTCTTATGGTTCACATCACCTGGAATATCCCAACCAGCTCCTGGCATTTTTCTTCCCATAAACAGGTTTCAAACGCTCGCTCTCCGATGACGGTCAGGTACTACGCCCGTGCAGCCTTGCTGCAAGTGCGAGCACGACGTGCTGCTGAGGAGATGATAGATCTGCAGCCCAAAAAAGATGCGGATGTTTGGTGATTTATGACTGCACAAATCTATCTTTTTGTATAAACATGTGTATTAATACAATATATACATATATATTGTAAACATAATATAATTTGATTCCATTTGATTGTGTTGATATCTTAGATTGGTAGCACACCCACCCCAAACAACCACCTTCTGAGCCCATGACACACACACACACATATATATATATACATACATATATATATGTGTATATATATACGATGATGATGATGATTGATGATGATGATTGATGGATTGCTTGCTTGCTTGCTTGATTGGTTGATTGATTGATTGATTGAATGACTGATTGATTGATTACTTGATTTGATTTGATTTGATTTGACAGATTTGATTTGATTTGATTGATTTGATTTGATTTGATTTGATTTGACAGATTTGGTTTGATTTGATTTGATTGACTTGATTTGATTTTGATTTGATTTGATTGATTGATTGATGATGATGATGATGCTGATGCTATATGGCAGTACGTTACTGATCAGAAATTGTTATATATTGTGATTATTCATCATTATACCATATTATACCCAATCTTAGCTGGGATGATTGACTGGTTCTGCTACAGTAGGGTTTGGGTCTCCCGGTACCTGTGGATCTTGCAACAGTAGGCAGTGAAGGTACTCAGAAGGTGACGATCATGGTGATCACCATCACAGGGTGTGGGACATACACGTATCTGGGGCTATACACGGTTCAATGGAGATTGATAATGCAAGCCGATTTGACCGTATGTTTCTAGGATTTGAAAGGCTTTTGCTAGCAGGGTTGATGGGAAGCATTGAGCTTATTAAGTCATGAACTGGGAGTGTCCACAACCACGTGGAAAGCCAAAGAGTCACAACAGCACAGCTGTTGCGGAAACAGCTTTCGTCCTGGCAGGGCAACAACAGCCCCCTCCAAAATTCCATTCCACAGGTGGCATTAGCATGTTTTCGTCGAGGATGGATGTTTCGGGTATGGCCTCCAAACATTCCCAATGGGCTCTTGAGTTTAGCTTCTTATCCCAATTTGGTAGGAGTCTAGGGGGCTCTCCCTTCTGGTACTTTAACATAGGAAAACCATCATGTTGAATGGGTAAATCATCGAACTTTCTATGGGCCATGGCTTCCATAGCGAACTTAACAAAGTACCAGGCGGTCATCTCATCACATTCAAATCATTCAATTCTTACAAGATCCCGTTATATATATATATATACATATATATATATTTATATATTATATATATATGTATCATTGTCTACCCCATTGAACAGCATAATGATGAGGGAAATGTCGGACGACTTTGAGACGTGGCCAGGAGAGGTTCCAGCTCTTGCAAGAGGCTTGTGTAGCCCTACAAGACTGCATGGCAGCCCCAGGCGGACTGACATGAAAATCGCCACGTTTGATTCTCGGAGGGTAGTGGGAAAATGTCTATGACTGGGTGATTTTTCATTGCCAGGTAATCGATTTCCTGGAGCTACTAGAAATCGTAGGTCCGACTCTGGCATAATTAACCATGGAAATGGAAAGCCACCATTTTTTATGGGTAAATCAACTATAAATGTTCATTTTCAACAGCTTTTTGTATGTTTACCAAAGACTTCCACCCCACTGGCGAATGGTTTGAGGACGGCCTCCTATTCGTCAGTGGATGCCTTCACCATCGATGTTTTGTGTTTGTTCAACAGACTTGATCTTTTTGGATTGTTGGAACGTACCCACTGTAAGGTGATTCAAATGGTACACGGATCACGGCCTCCCGATTTGTTTATATAGATGATTGCTAAAAGAGAATTCCGTTTCATCGATTGGGTGATTTTTGTCAAGTTGTCAAATTCTGTTTGACATTTTTCATCATCCACTTGTTTCCACACCTTCTTCAGGGGTTGGTGAATGCCCCATTACTGTACAGGAAGTGTGAAAAATCACCAACCAAGATGCTAGTAATTGTCACCAACCGTACCTTTGTTCAATCCAGGCTTTTTGACCATTGGTGTCACAGATGCTTAAACGAAATCCTCAGGCATTGCTAGTTCTCCCATTTTGGGGATGTTTTTCGATAAGCACCATCAATGTGCTATGTGTTTAATCCGTCCATGTTTGAAATCATATGTTATCTCTCATATGTTCAAACGACATCCTGCTGCTTTTCGCTGAGTGAATTCCTGATTGCTGCCGGCTAAATGCAGCAACCAGCTGTAGTTTTTGTGGCCCTTCAACTGGCAGGGTTTCGAACTGCTCAAAAAATCTGCCAATGCTGGAACTTGTTTCTGATTCCATTCCATCGGATATTTGTTTCTTAAATCCACCAACCAAGCCGTTTCACCAATGCAAGTTGGGTGTGTCTGAGAATGGGGCCTCCCTAAAAGATTTTGCTTTGCATTTAAGGGTCCAAAAAGACCCAAGGGTCCAAACTGGGTCCAGCTGATGAATCTCGCGCAAGCCTCGCTCATGTCCTTTTTCTCGCTCACACCCAAAATTATCCAAGTAAGGATTTGTCAGGACGAACAAATCAGTGACAAAAGGTCTGCTCAATTATGAGGCATGTTACAATTTGAATTCTCTTTTTTGATCTGTCCTGATCACATTTGCCTGCTTAAATGTATGCAAAATGCAAAATTCGTGGCATCGTCATGTTGCTACTCGAGCTTGGATGCTTTCTGCATCACTGGCCGGGCTGCTCAGCTTCAGCTCGGACACGCTCGGATGTTTTTGCTCCGTGCCCTGGACCTGGACCTGGACGGCCTGTCACGGAGAAACCGCCCGGTATCTTTGAGGCCCTGGAAGCCTGCCTCGAGGCCTGCCTCAAGGCCTGCTTTGAAGCCTGCTTCGAGGCTTGCTTCATCCTTAAAAGCACATCCTCGAGGCTTGGAGGCCTGCCTCTCGAAGCCTGCCTCGAGGCTTGCTTCATGCTTTTTTAAAAACATATTCTCGAGGGTCTGGAAGCCTGCCTCGAGGCCTGCCTCGAGGCCTGCCTCGAAGCCTGTCTGGAGGCTTGCATCATGCTATAACCAATCCTCGGAGCCTTGGAGGCCTGCCTGGAGGCCTGCCTCGAGGCCTGCCTCGAAGCCTGCCTGGAAGCTTGCTTGATGCTGATAAACACGTATATTTTCGTTGCTTCGAGGCTTCCATGCGGCCGTCCCTTTGCGCCACCTGCGGCCTAAAATTCTACAAGGCACCACAATTTCCCACGGCCACACCATCACCATTTCCATGGGACTCCAACAATAGTATTATATAGATTCGAGTCCCCGTGAGCCTCGCTTCGTCCTCGTGCCAATACGTTTTGCGTCCGAGGCCTGGCCTCGGGCAGGCCTCGGTGAGCCTCGGAACGCCTCGCAGGAAGTACGCCTGCCAACAATATTTCAAAACCTATTTCTCATGGCCTAAACATGGGTCTAAAAAAGTTTTAAAACATGATCGGCCATAAAGGGCCTGGATATCCAGATTTGGGACGCATAAGGGAAACGGTTTTGTTGACATTCATTTCATATGTGGTTCGCAAACCCGCTTGCAAAACATTTGCGTTCAGCAGCAAAATTCTCCGATGGCTGACCCCATTTTTGAGCCCAAATCTGGACCCCAAAATGGGGTCCAGAATTGGATCCTATTTTAGTTTCTTCTCATGGGTCTTCGCTTGGGCCCCGTTTTGGGGTCCAGATTTGGACCCAAAAGTGGGGTCAGCCATCGGAGAATTTTGTTGCTGACCGCGGAAGTTTGCTTAACACATGCCTTTTTCTTCCTGTCCGTCCCAACTTGTTGCTTGTACAGTATGTCCTCATGACACGATGCTGCTAGTGCTGTCAAAAGATGCTGTGTGATGCGCTGTCCGTCCAATTCAACCTGCTGAAGGTCACTTCTAAGGTGTTATAGATCAATTGCAATCCGTGTGCTTCTTCTGGGAAGAAAGTGACACATCCACTCTGTACTAGCCGTACTGTGCGCCTGAGGTCTCGCACAGTCACCATAAGGTCTTGTGCTGCTTCCAAACTATATAGGATCATCTTTACCGGCATAGAGAGCTGGTGTTCTTCTCCGCGAAGTCGCACATACTCCATGGCGGTACGGGCAGAAAGAGTGGAGGCCCACTACATAAAGATTGCTAGCTTGCGAATACCGTGAAAGGGACACTAGGATGGCAATTGGTGGATGTTGTTGTGGGTCAGTTGCAATCCCGACGCGTCTTTGGTCGGAAAGACAACGTGACCGCCCATGGTTACCGTATTTCATGTGAGGACATGTCAAATATTGGTACATGTCGGTTATAACACTAGGGTGACAGTCTCACTGGGGTACCTCAGTCAGTGTGATGGGGAGGATAAATTCAAGTTCCCGTCCTGTTGTTACTGTACCTACGCTCAATTCTGATCTTCACACCCTTGAATTAGAGATGAGCATAGGACACTGAGTGAGTTATCCATTGTGTACGCATTAATACTAGAAAACAAGTACAGACATATTAAATGAGGGTTGCAGGTAACCCTAAGCCCGTCCTTGAACATCGTGTACACACGCCCTCACGTAGAAATGTCATCTAACTTGCTAGTAGGTGTGAAAGGGATATTGATTATTTGGCATACCAAATTAGGTGGGATGAGATGTACCTGTGAGCCAATAGGAAAACATGTACATACTTCAGTCACCGCCGGCACTGTCAAGCAGAGGATTGCTGGACCCTAATAGGTGAGCATGTAGTTCAGTTCACATAAAAGTTATTTACAAGACGTGCGAGAATCACCATATGCAAGGCTGTCCCGAGAGCCCCTCTTTTGGTTGCCTGACGATCAACTTCGCTGGTCTTCTGCTGACTCATTGTGCCTCACAGGTCATTGAAAATGGTTGCATACGCTTCGCTTAGAGCGTGCCAATTTTGCTGTAGTCGATAAAGTGCTCGGTTGGCTTCTTGTACAAGGTCATTATGTTGCCTCTGCAGCACTTGGATGCCTTCGCTGAGTTGGAAGATCCTATCCGCTTCGTCTTCATGATTAGGAAAAAGGCCTG